TTTCGTTCGGCCACCGAGAGAATCTTGAAGAAGACGTGTGAGTTTCGATTCACGGTAAGGAATGTGAACATCACGAGAACTTCGATCCACCAGGGCATTGATCACACGACCAAGAGTCAATAAACTCTTGTTGATCAAACCAGCTTCAGCAGCTCTTTTGTTCTCGGCACCACTGCGTTGAATATTTTCACTTCCTGCCAAATCAACCAAGTTCAGCTTGCCAGCGCTAACGTATTCCTCTCCATTTTCCGCTGTCCTTTTGATATAGGCAGTAACTGTAAAGACCGTATGACTTCTACTACTCAGGTCGTTACACTTGGTTGAGGCGACTTGTCTTTTGAATGATCCATCCTGCAGAATCTTCACACCATCTCTAGCGGTCTTAATATACGATTCCTCCATACCCTGAACTAATGTTGTAGTACTTCCTTTTTTGCTGTTGTCGTCGTAGATCTTGAGCTTTGTGCTATCGTTGACAGCTATCAAATCGCGTAGCTCTTCATTGTAAAGTTCGATGAATGAACACTTCACCGAAGATTCCGCGTCATTTAATTCGAGTTTGTTGAACAAAGCGTGAAGGGCGCGAGGTATGATTCCAGCATTATCTGAAAGGATCCCCAAATGATCGCTCATATCTCCGGACATCGTATATGTTTTTCCAGTACCAGTTTGGCCATATGCGAATATCGTACAATTGTATCCCGCAAGCATCTAAGATAATTAGTAATGCTTACATGTAAACAATAGCAGTGAAAGTACCTCGTCAAGAATTGGAGTCACAACATCGTCGAAGATCATGGCTTGATCTGCTGCAGATGAAAACACCTTGTCGAAATGGTAACTCTTGTTACTGAGAGCGCTGGGTCCCATTGATAAATCGAGATTCTTGCCCTTTACTCCTTCTGTTGAGAGTACAACACCGCTGTTTTCCTTGACTTCGCGCTCATTTCGACCCCTACATCGTACCACAACATTGATATTTGTCTCTCCACCTCCTTCATGTTCAAAATCTCTTTCTTTTCTTTTCGTTCCCGTAGTAGATGTAGCAACAGATACGACTGATCCTGTTGGCGAGACTGCTCCAGATCTCGACGGCGGTGGCATTGCTGAACTTGATCTAGAGGTAGAAGGTCTTGGTCCTGCTAAAGAACTTGATGGTCTTGGTGGAGGTCTCATGGTGTTTATCCTTTTATTCACAGCTGGCGCTGGCGTTGCCCGGGGTATTCCTGCCATAATTGGCGATTATAATATATTGAGGGAACCTAATTCTGCGTCGCTCGCGAAGGAAAGAAGTACAGTAGGTCGGTAGTATTGGTGTTTGTTTTTGTTTGTGTAGAGATCCAAAATTGAGTGAGTGAGTTCAACGCGGGGACCAACGCGCTACTAGCAGCAGGTGAATGGCTCAATGCTGATGGTAGATTTCAAAATATGGAACTTCTTCTTTTACCTTTGAACATATAATATAATGTCGTTGTCGTCTCGTTCTTGTCGCAAATAATTGTTGATGTTTCTTCAACATTCAATCATCACAATCAATTTCTTTGATCAACATTTCATTTCTGACAAATTGTTGCCCCGGCAACCAAACTAATCCCACTTCTCTACTCCAAGCATCACGAGCTTCCAGCCCCACCATGCCATCACTCTGGAAGTGTCTCACTTCCCAGTCGCAGTCATTAATTCAATATTCAAATACCTCGAGTGCCAGTACAAATACTCTACCGTCTACTGACAATTCAAATACAAATGTAGCAGATATGTCGTTATTCAGCGCTCAAGTCCATCCAGGACGAGCTCTGGGCTTTCTAGGTATATAACTATACTGTTTTCCTTCACAAAGAACTGAAACTAATAGTATATCCTCAGTTCTAGGAGCTTCACTTCACGAGATCATCACACGAATAAAAGCCGAACCACAACGATTTCCTAAACTCGACTTGACTTATGAGCCTGTAGCTCCTGTCGATGAACCTGTTATCCTCAGTCTGCCTTCCAACGGCATTCGTTTACGCTTTGATGGACCTCAGCAGCGTCTGCGACTGATAGAAGTATTAGACTTTACAAAAAACAAACTCACATACAATGATCGCGAGGTGTTAAGATCTGGTGGAACTGCTTCACCAAATGGCGCAGGAACTGGACATCTTACTGGACCAACCTTTCGACATATTTACAAGAGTTTAATTGGACCTACATTTCCTGGAGAATATATCAAACCTGAAGCTGGAGACGAGACTGGAATGGGCTTATATGTATTATCATATCCCGGAGTCGCATTTTCCTTCCCTATACATAAATCATCTTGGTCGCCCGGCAAAGATGTTGTTTCGCTACTCTCATCATCCGCTGGCCAACCTGCTTCTTCCATGGCCATATTCTCAGGGGAATCTTGGCCCGAGGCAAGAGATAACTTGTTCACACAGACCCTTGAACCCCTCAAGACATTTGCTCCCTTGACAAAAGGTCGCGAACCGGTTGCAGATGAAATTGGCCTTGTTAAACTTTATGGTGGAGGAAAACTTGAGTTGATTCGTCGTTTTAACAATACTCCCTTTTGGATTCTTCTCGGTGAAACAACTCCTCAAGAGCTTGTGGCTGAACTCGGACCACCTGATGCTATATATCGAAAGAACGATCAAAAGATGTCGATTCACAAACCTCGAACTGCAAGTAGCACTGGTAGGCGACCAGCCTCAACGGATCTCCGAGATGATTCGACCGATACCGACCAATCCTCAGCTCACACTGCGACGGATGATTCTGATGATGATAGTGGTGAAGGAGAAGTAGCAGGGAATGTTACGGGAGAGTGTTTCTATAATTATTTCTACCATGGCTTCGATGTCTTGGTCTCTACTCCCACATCACCCTCACAGCTTCCCCCATCTAAAGCACGTTCTCAACAAGAAAATAATCGAATTATTCCCACAGATGCCACCGCCCGTCTGGTAGCTACAAAAGTGATATTACATGGTAATGTCCCGGGCTCATACCCATTCAATCGTCATCGACGCTGTCGCTGGGAAATCGAATACTTGTCCCCAAAACCCAAGTCTAAAATCATGTCCATCAACTCAGAAACTCCTTTCCCATCGATCGAAAGCAGTCTTTACAATGAATGGAAAAGCATCTATAACAACGTCGAAGAAGCCAAACAACGACAACGCGGAATGGTCCTGAATCGCGATTGGGGCGATAGTCCAGGAAGTAGTTGCGAATTACTTGGTGGTTGGGAAGATAGTGTAGGTGGGAAACGAAATGCTGAGAAGGAAGATGAGAAGGGCTTGGGAAACACTACTTTGTTTGGATTTCCGGGATTGGTATTTGAAGTTCTGAAGAATGGTACTGTGAGTGGTGTTACGGTGTTTTGATTGGGTGGGCGAGGGAGTTTTGATGGGTGATGGGTTGGATACCAAATGTGTTGGTGCTAGTTCGGGTGTTTTGGTGATACATATATTTTAGATTGCATACATACATGGGTGGGTTATTGAACGGTTCAGGCATTCGGGAGTTTATGTCATTTGTAGTGATATCAAGATTCAGGATTAAAGCATTGACGTTGTGAATATAATTAATTTCCGCTGCGAAGAAGTTGAAATATTGCGTGTCCAATGCAATCTTCTTTCACTCACCACAAGTAAATACTTGGTAAATAACAAACACGTTCCGAGACAACGGTGAGTAAGTGAAGTCACTGAAGACAATGTCTCTGGAATATGATATTGAGGAACGTTAAGGTTCCTTTTTGAGCAAATTATCATGTTTTGCAATCCCTATCACCCTCATCGCTATCCTCACTCAACACAATCACCTCCCTCTACAAGTCATTTGTCTCGGAGTCATCATAGATGGAGATGGGCTGGGGAATAGAAAAGATGTGCAAAGGGACAGTGGTCAAGGGAAGCAGATCCATTAAACAGCAACTAAAGATTACTCAGAGGATCATATAGACTTTCGTTGGTGTTTTCAACAAACACTTGACAATTCTCTTTGAACCATCCAGTGAGGTGAATACATTTATGACATTTTTCACTATATTGAGATGCGCAATCTACACCGTGTTCACGTCTGCCATGAAGTTGCTGTTCCTTAGCTAGGTATGACGTCTTGACGCCACCTTTTTCCGCAAAATAGCAATCGTGGAATCCTTCCATTATGATGCTAGATGTTTGTGATTGGTGAGAGAGGGGAAGGACAGGTGTGGAGGAGATTCATCGCCAGCTTCAGCAGTGAGAATAGGGACATCTCGCGCAGAAGTGTCAAGATTCAACTTCGTCAGGCTAGGTGCTAGTATTGTGGCTGCAGATATTGAGAATAAGGAAGCTTGAATCAATGTGGTGAACATATATCAAAAATTCGTCGAAGTTGTGAATTTGCCGCTTTATTATTGAAAGACTAAAAGACTGCTTTTCTGGTACTATTTACTTTCTCTCCTTGCTATTTAAAACCGCATATCAGCATATCGAGTCAAAAGCTGGGGGTGCCCGGCACCTAAAGTCGAGTTGCAGCGCTTTTAAGAAAAATAGATACCCTCACTAACGAACCCAAGGTACTAAGAAATTGAGCCATCGTGCAAAACATCATGCATTTCCCATATCCTTTTACATGTCGCTACCGCTGGGTGACAATATGACCGCATACAAATAGTGTCGCTAAACCTGGATGACTACCATGGCGATGGTACATAATCATCCATTGAGAAGCCAATGCCAATATAGAGCAAAAGACCGCTAAAATCTTAAAGTTCAGCCTGGTTGTTCATACTCGCCAAATCGTACCAGCCTCCATTTCATCATCTTCTTGAGCTTTTAGAGGTTTTCCACTTGATTTGAGAGGGCTTCTCGATCTCCCATATTGTGTGGAAGGTTGACGGTGTTGGTGAAAGCTGATTGTTATCATTTATATCGGCGCTTGAATCTATAGGAGTCTGAGTCTCTATCCGTCGCATATTCGTAGCTTCTTTCGTTCCGGGGCGGCAGAAGCTTAGAATATGATCCCGTTCAACCATTACCTTTGGCTCGATCTAGATAATTTGCTGATCCAGGTTGCCCACTCAGATTCGTAGTTGCTCCGGGAGTTGATAAGTTATCATAAGCTAGAGGTGGCTCAACCCAATGAGAAGAGCGGCCACGGGACTGACGACGAATTGCCGAGCGATTTCTCGCTGAGGGGGTACGAATTAGCTCTGATTGGCTGGATGCTGGAACATCGGCTTTCTGAGTGGAAGGAGGAGCGATTCGTGGTGCAGCGATTCGTGATGCGGCGACTTGAGCATCATAAGCCTGTCTCTGTGCCTGAACCTGTTGTTGTTGAGCTGGAGTAAGGATAGGTGGTAACTTGGAAGCATCAGTAGGCTGAACAACCTGTGAAATATGAGCAGGCATTCTTGATAGGATAGGATTATTTCCGGGTGAAAACGTACTCCCATAAGTGCATTGTTTAATCTTAGTAATTTATTCAACTTCATGCGGGTCCTGAAGAGATGATCTTTGAGGCGTTGCATCGTACTTAATGTCCTATACCAGGGGAAGAGTCGTTTGTAATTGTCGCTGCGGAGGAGTTCTTCGTCGCCATCATCGCTCACGCCCCTGAAATAGGTATAAATATTTAACCCTACGCATCAGAGTGTATGGTTAGTCTGGAGTTGTATCGAGATCATGACAAGTTCGTTGAATAGTGCGAGTACTTGCAAATAAGTGCTCTGTTATAGTTCTGTCGCTGGGTGTCATTGATCGCAGTCAAGGTATCTAGAAGTGGATAGTGGACAAGACACCACGCTCCTTGACCTTTAAGGTGTATTATAATTGGACCTTTAGCCATGATTGTGACCTGTTCAGATGTTTTAATAGATGTTTCAAAGCTTTATGTTGATTGATTAAAGATAGATGGAGAAATTCAAATATGTTCTTTTCAGTGCCAACTTCTACCGAGGGAGGTCGCTTCCATTATGGTTAGTAAGAAATAGATGAGTTGCTGTAGTAACTGGGTAATGGTACTAGAAATCAAGATGCAATTCAATCTCTCTGCGGGTCACGTATGAAACTGGTATGTTGTTGTACAGTGTAAAAGATGGTAACAGATGCTCTGATCCTCCAGATATCATCAAATTTCCAACTATTGTTTCTCATTTGAAATTTTGAAGAGCCTTCTCAAAGAGAATCTTAGAACTATTTGAGGGGCTACTTATCGTTATAGGTTAAAAGTCATTTTATCGTCTTGAATTCATAATTTCAACCTCAAGTATTGTCTAACAATTGAGATTGCAAAGAGTTGTTCTTATTCTTTTATCCTCTCTTGAATTAGAAGTATGCTTGTGATGAGAAGTTGAGCCCTATCTTGATGTCTTGTATCTATTGCACGAGAGTCAGTGGTTGTCTTCTTCTCCTGAGGATGGCTGTGAACACCCGAAAGCACAATCTTGAAGGAATTGCATTCTCATACTTCAATCTAGTTAAATATCATTGAGATGTGTTCCCATGAAGAAGGAGCATCCATCTAGCTTAGGTAATATTGTTGAGAACTGCCCTATAAAGGAGGAGCATCCCTCTAAATTAATATCATTGGAATCTGCCCTCATGAAGAAGGAGCAGATACTGCAAATTATTCAAATTCCACAACAACAAAGCAGCTGTCATTCCATCACCCTCGTTTCGTCCCAAGTATCGCACTTACTGAGTATCATGACCGATAGCAAAGTTCTCCGTTTGAAATCATCATGTATCTACACTATGCAAAATATATGAGGTGCCTGCCTTGAACCACCATGATCTGTCGTCAAGCTTGAGAAGTATGAAATCGCAGGCGTTGTTGGCTGTGCCAGGATAATACAGCAGCAAGGTCCAAGCACGAGTAATGTTTTCTTTCCAACCATGATTGAGGTTGGATTTATAATCCAAACTCACAGCGACAGTATCTTAAAGTAGACTTAAAGCTGAAGCTTAAAAAACAGCATTCTCGAGGGACCATAACAGAAACGCATGATTACCACCTCGATATCAAGAAACAATAGTGGCAATATTCACAATAACGACAATGAGAGGGTGAATGGGTAGTTGTTTCCGACTTTTGAAGATCCTGCCTGTTCAAGCGACTTGGATGATGTGAAAAGTATAAATGTGAATTTGACCTGCTCAAACAAGGTGAATAAATTTACATAATAAATCCGAATACTTCACAACTTGCATGTTTAGTTCATCTCCCGCAAATGTTGCTACTCTAGCTATTTCCATATCTAATGTATTTATATTCCCCTATCTGTCCTTCAAGAGCTCATATCCTGATCTATTCTTCAACCTCAAATCTTTTCCGCTCCTGTACTTACATCTTCCCTCACATAGAAAACTAGAACCATGATTTGTACAATAAACCCAAAATCCGAGTGAATAAAGAACAATCAAACTGCCACTTCTAGAAGATATGGCCAGGCTGCGTTTTCTTGGTTGTGTGTGCAAATGATACTTTCGTGAATCGTTACGGATAAACCAAAAGCGACATTTGAAGTAACGACCACGATGGAATCTCTCGAACTGACAACATATTGCGTCGCAACAATGTACACCAACAAAACAGCCGAGCTCACATGACTGAGTGGTAGCACGTAATATTCGCACTTGCAAACAGAAATTCCGTGGAAGGCTGATGGGCACATGAATACTTGTGGAAGCTACTTGGTCTCTCCAGCTTTTTGTATGCACAACAAATAGAGATCGATGTTCCTCCTCGCAAGTCTCAAAAACATATTGAGAAAAAAAATGTATGTGGGAGAGAGCAGTGGAAAAGACAATTGGGTAACAAGATGTTATAGATGGAATTCATTCTTGGTTGACTAACCTTACAAATAAACACTAGGATTGCACAAGCATAAATGGACAGCAATGTTTGAAAAACAAAAATGTGAAGACTATGAATGATATCATTTCGAGAACCACTGTTCCATCATAACGTTGAACATCAACCACGAGGTAAATGCCCTGAGTATCATTCATCCAGGTCTACCTCATAACCCCATTTTGTCCCACATCAACATCAACCTCCACTATCGGCTTATCATTTCTCTCCAACTCTCTTTGTCTCTGTACACTCTCATCCATGTGATCCGCGAAGGCGAAAAGTGCCTGACCTGCTTCTCCAAGATCATCTACACTTTGAGTTTTCTCTATCTCGTCGTCTTTCTTCCCTGACCAACTATCAGGCATCTGTATTAACCCCTCATGCAACGCATAACCCGCCACCAATCCGACAGCCGCAACTAAACTTCCCGCCGTGATAACATATTTCCAGATGCTACCCGCATCAGTATCCTTTTCCTTTTCGCCACCATACCGTCTCATACGATTATCTTTCCTCTGTTGTCCCACAATCGGTAACGAATCTGCTAGACCCGCCAAAAATACGCCTCCGATATTTAGTATACCACGAGCTTCAGGCGCTTGCCAAGGTAAACTCCCTTTCTTCTGTTGCACTGCATTTGCATTTCCGCTATTGCCAGATTTGGTAAGCAGCGCATCATCCAAACCAACCACACCATTCCACGCCTCATCTTTCAGCTTTTCAACCCATTCAACCAAATCTGGAAACTTTTTCCTCATCGTCTTTTGCAGCCATGGTTGTGGTAACTGCGGATACAGCATCAGAGACATAAAACCAAGTGCTAGACAATCTAGACTCGACAATTTCTCATGTGAGACAAGATATTTCTTATTTCCTTTTAATTCTCTGATTGCAGAGAAAAAGTCGCTTGCTAATGCATCGAGACGAATTTGCGCGTTAGTTTCAGGGGAAGCTTTTAGTAAACTTGAGACAGATTGTTTGCCCCTCCTAAGAGATTCGGGTATGATACTTGGTTGGTCTCGTGATTTATCATCTTCTGAATCTATATCCAGAGCATCTAGACCTAGATATTCTGTTCTTTTTTTAGCTTCCGCTCGGAGATGAGGCGGTGTAAGATATGGCAAGGGAAAAGATTGTATCGTATTGAAAATCGGACGAGTGATTTCGGAATAATTCTTCGAAGAAACATAGAGTGAGAGATCTAGTAACGGCTGTCCATGCATTTGGATAAAAGCAGAATATCTAATCGACCAATCAATAAGCTTTGCATCATAACAAATATAAAGGATCTGTCTATCCGTTTTTTCTTCGGTAGTACTTACGCTGTACAATCGGCCCCTTCTTGTCCTCGTAAGCCCGCATCTAGATTCCATTTCCCAGATGAATATTGTGTGAGAAAATCGATGATGCTTCTGTATCCACCCACCCAATGAATGGCCCCATTCCTGCTATCTTTCAAAGCAGGTAATTCATCTGCAGGATTATATCAATATTGAACTTTTCCTCTTTTGACCACTCAAGGATTGTGTGAGGGGTAAAAGGATGCATTTTCTGCGTCACGTACTCGTGGGACTTAGGGTTGGATCACTACTAGCAACAAGGGACCATTGACCACGTGGGATCACTTGCTGCATGTATGCAATAGTAGCTAAGCATTGTGCATCAATGGAGGGCAAACCGAATGATGGACCCCAAATATGCAGTTCAAGAACCATGATTGATATGTGATATAATGCGGAAGTTATGCGTAGGTTTCTGTGCCAAGTATAAAGTGGTGTGGTATGATTTTTGAGCAAGATTCGAGGTTTGAGGTGTGGGTTAAAGATTCAGAGTAAAAAGATGATGGAATTGAGGATTTTACTTGATTGAAATCTGCAAGTCGTCCAAAAGAATCAATTATGCCTTATGCTTTTCCTTGCAAAAGCTATTACAATTGCGGTGAGGAGATGCAAGTAATTTGATATGTATCAAACTGTACATATGCATACATGCATATATTGTAAACGGTGAAGGGAAAGACGGCACCCAAATTGGAATTGGTGCTGTGGTTGATGTCGTTGTTGATGTCGCCGTTAAAGTTAACGTGAGACTTGTCAAAAAATATTGATCAATTGATAAGAAATTCCCCTCCATGATTGCCAAGCCTTTCCCTCGCGCTCCATCCCGTTCCTGGCGTTCCTGGGAAAATTACCCGTGTCCACGTGATATGATTTTATCTCCTTCAATTCTCAGCTACTCGGCGATAATACCCAACCACCACACAACCAAGCACATAACCACCAAAACTAATAGATGCATCTAGCTAACAGCCTATCGGGATATATGCTTACTCTCCTCTTCACACAGCGCACACATGTACGCAAAAAATAACCTCCAAGGAAGCACAACATCAACGTCGCATCCGTCTCGCCGTGTTGCTGTGCCACAATCATACAGAGAAGAAGGTTGAAGACTAATTCTTACTTTAACCTATCTAGTGCCTATCTGCTATCTTTCTACTACCTATCTACTACCCATCTACTACCCGGTCACCAAGACTGTGCAAGTCTCCTCAACCTAGCAACCTTAACCCACACCACCGGATTTTTGGCATGTCACTATCACACCCAATATTGGTCTTGAAGAGGTATAATTGAAGATACCAAGCCTTCTTCCCCTCATCTTCCTCAGCCCGAATATATTGACTTTACGATTTCACTCCAAGTTATCTCTACATGATGAATATATACCAGGAATATCAGTTGGAGTAGGTCTTCGTCTCAGAGAAGTCATAGCTTCTATGCATCAGCTGGTTACACTGTCACAACAGTATGGTGAGACATATCCATCTTCCTTTTCCTTCTTCTCAGGAACAATTTCTCGACATTTACGCCAACCCGTTTTGAACCTTTCTGCTGTTGAGCCAAGGTATATATCTCAGATATCAGAAACCCTCTTCATCATAATGAACCACCGAATATAGAAATCTCTTCTCCTTCAAAAGCAATAAT